GACCGCAGATCTCCCATCTGGTGCGCACGTGTGAGTTCCTCTGGAAGCTCGCTGTGGTGGCGACGACTGACTAGCCTGTACAGTTTTACGGAGAATGTAGGAGCCATCACGGCAACGGTAATCGCTCGATGCCGAGTGGAGCAGCACGATAAGATGAAGGACCGTCTCCAACGCCCGAGACGGTGTCAGAACGGAGCAGACTGGCGGTACAACATGCCATTGGTCGAGACCACAAACTCTCAGCACACAGTGAGGACTGTCCTCCGCGGCGCACCAGCCAGGTGGCATCATCTGATCTCATGCTGCATCGACAAATGGCGACAAAACCGGCTGAGATGGTCGCAGCCACAGGTTGCAGACTCCATGTCTCCGAACATGAAATGTTTCTGGTACATGCGTTTTCATATTGCAGATTAGCTGATCAAGGCGAATGCTAATCTTATCTGCTGGTCCTTCTGCTGTCTTGAATCAGGTACTGGAGTCATGTGTGAATTTCGTGCTGGCAAGTTGCTCCGTCCCGTCCGAGGGGCCGTTTGGCCACGAGAAAACGGAGCGCCGCCTCCGTAAGTTGGGACAAGTATATGCGGAGGGCACTGCACCCCTCCCCCACTACGCTCCAGGGGCCGAGTCTCTTAGTGAGGTACGAGGGGTACTCGTTCGAAGAACGTATTCGCTTTTCCGTCTCGGTCCAGCCAGTGCTGCAGACGCTACAGCGAGGCAATTGTTACACCGGTCCGGGGCCCTTGCTGAGCTGCTGTTAAGTGTCTGGTATCAGAACAGCCGCGACCTTATCAGCAGACGCATGCATTCTATTGCCTCAATTTACCGCGCAGAATTGTCTTGTCGCTGATCTGACCTGGCCTGATTCAGCGTCTCACTGCGTTGGAAGCCTGGCATCATCAAGGTTCCACGCACGTATGGAGCTCCAAGTGCAGGTAATAACAGGCAACAGTTGTCGGCGAGAGGCGGCGTGCGTCGAGCAAGGCAGGGTTCATGGGTTTTACAACAACCTCTTCAGATTGCCTACTGATGCACTTGTGCCCTGTCTTGCTGCCACCAACGTAATTCGCTCTTCTGGAAACATGCCGTGCCGTTACGCCCAAGCATTGGCTGTTCATCTCCCCCTGGTCTGTATGTCAATGCAAAGGCCACGCGAGACACCGAAGGTCGAAAAGGGTTGTGGAAACAGCACAGGTGTTTGGGAGCATTCGATGGCTTTGACGCCAGTTATTCTTAGTTGACACTTTTTTTAATTTGTTTATTTTTTCCTCCTCTTGCTCTGTTGCTCTCTATTTGTTGTCTTTGCGAACCTAGTTTGCTAGTCGCTCGACATCCGTTGTCTAAACCCTCTTTTGCAAAATCGCCGGCAGCTCGGAGAAATCTCTGAGCCCTCTGCCCACACATGCACGGAGGCTGTGGCGGGCCAGGGGAGTTTCGGTGCTAGTACATAGCACTTCGTTACAGCGAATCTGTGGACATTGCAAAGACAACCTGATTGGAGGATGCGCAACGTCGAGGTTCCCTGCAATCGTTGCTGTGGGATCAGTATTCCCGTCACAGCAAGACACTCACCTTTGGTTGGGCCACAGAACCCCAATGGGCTTGCTGATTTGCCCTCCACCTGATAGCCATTGTACGCGGGCTTGGCCATTTGCCTCATCAGCTGCTCGGTGCCAGCATGAGAAGGACAAGTGGTGACAGCGTGACCGGATTGGGCAAACAGGCGGCGGCTCTGGCGTGTCGATCACCAGCGGCTCCACCAAACAAACCGCGTATCGACCCTGGTTCTCTAAGACATGCAGGCATGGCAGCATCTGGATAAGTCTGTTTGTGGACATTAGGTCTTGGTGTGTTGCTAGCATGGCCCATTCTGTCAGCTCTCACTCTGACTCTCACTCTTCACGTTCTCGTTAATTGGCCTCGGTGCCAAATCCAATTTCCAATTGCCAAAGGCCAAAAGGGTAGGGGTTCAACGGAGGTCGCGAATTGCACCCGTGGGCTCATAGAAGAGGGGCTTGGATGGTGGACAAGAGAAACTGCGGAAGAGATGGCGGTTTCAAAGCCGCACTCCCAGTAATTCAGGATCGCCATGCTTGCACGCTTGCTTGCTTACTTTGCTCCATTGTGCTTTTTTTATCTTTCCCTCGGTGTGAAGTTTTGATAACAGCAAAGGCGACACATGCATCGGGCATCACGGCAAATCACATCAGCTACTTGCACGGACTACTCCGTGGCACTGCGGACCGCATCGGCTCCTCTTTGGACCCATCCGCAAGACAGCATACGATACGAGTACTCGTACAGTACTGTACCGCGTACAGAGATGCTCCTACCATTACCACCTTATGATTCCTAAAGCTTCCGGGCAACGCGCAAGTGGGCCAGAGTAAAGCTGCTGTTGCATCGTACCGTTTATCTGCTTCACTGGAAGTCCAAGCTTTCCCTTCTCGCTTGGCACGCTGACAGCACGGGATGGCAGGCTGTGACCTCATTGCCCAGGCAGCTTGATGGATACTACGCCCTTCGCCATAACAGACATACGAGGACCTCGTGGTGCCCCAGATGGGAGCTTCCTGTGCGGCAAGACACACAAATTGGGTGACCAAAGACGAAAACCATCATCAGCGCAAAGAGGTCGAAGCCATACTCTATAGCCGTAGCGGTGAGAGTTTTCTACTGAGGAAGCTCTCCAGACCGAGATGCACTAACCTTGGGGTAGAGAAACGGATCAGCCACATTTGGTTGCCCGCAGAATAGGAGTACTCCGTGAACCGATGGCGTTATCGCCGGGTGGGAGCACATCAATAATGCGAAAGAAAGAAAAAATTTGACTGAGACGCAGGAAAGAAAAAAACTTTTCTCTAGCAGCCCGCTTCTAATCTCAACTATCAGGTTTGCAAAGTGACAAGCGATAAGAGCTGCAGTGACGAGCTGTTTTGGTGCATGGAGCTCCAGATTGTGGATGTGAGACACGCAGTAGCAGTATTGGCTGGAGAATCCACTCTGCACTGGACTGGACCTCTTTTGCGAGCCTGCACTGCGGATCCAAGGGTCGCGAGGGGGAAACGAGCGCTAGAAAATGCGAGGAACGCTGTGTGGAAGTCCAGCCCAAACGTCTAAGCCTCAGTGGTGATCCAAAAGTCCCTCCAAAAGAGGCGCCCTTTTTTGGCGAGGGAAACGGTGGCGTTAGCTGTGGTGCTGCTTTGGGCGAATGGCGCTTGATGCCGAGAGATCTTCCCGCATTAACGAGTTTGGCCATCTCAGGTGATCTTTTCCTGTCAATCCTCCCACTTGCCGGTGCCTCTTTTTTGCGCCTTAACCTTATCAATTGGCTTAAGACTGTGCCTGAGCTTATGTAAGGCTAAGGTAGCTCTTCAAAGTAGCGCTTCAAAGCCAACAAGCGGGGTCTCTAGCCATCACCAACAACAATTGAAGTTTGTTGGACGCATCTCCGGAGCCAACTGTCAAGCTGAATGGAGATTGCGGAAGCTTGATCGTTCATCGAACTCTTGGCGACTTAAATTTCGAGCCAAATGCCGAAGTGGCCCCAGAATAGGGATAGCATCACGATCTCTACGGACAAACATGGGCTCCTAACTCGATTTTGAGCCTGAAGACGAGATAGTGGCTAATCGACGGCAGCATATCACCGATTATCCGGCCGGACTCTGTCCCGATGGCCCGCCCGATAGAGCCAAACGGCGAGGTGCGGTATTCCGCAGACACGTCTCTCCACCTTGTGATTTGGAGAGACACAAGGCGAGACAGAAAGCTAAAGGTATGGGGTATGTAGACATCAGCTCTCTCTTATCTGTACTCGCACTCATTTCCCGGCGACTCAAGGTGAAACACAAGAGTCCTGATAATGGCAATGTCCGGCCTGGTCGGGGGATCTTGCGTGGCCAAGGCTCGGTATCGCAGTGAGGCGCAAATCCCTAGATCTAGGCTTGGCAGAGAGGTTGCCTTGTCCACATGCGCATGCTCAGTTCTGGATAGACCTACATTCAGAGTCCCTTGTCACAGCTGATACTAAAGCCGGGACGTGGGATTATCGTTGCTCCCCGATTGGCTTAGGAAGAGAGCCGACTGGGAGTACAACGTTGCAGCCATGCTTCGACGTCTCTTGTGCTTGCTGCCCCATAGCCACCCTCCTTCACCTTGGATGCCGCCGAAATCATGCCAAACTCTTGCTCTTGGCTCCATTGAGCACTCCGTGCCTTGAACGGGCGCCTGTTGCCCAGCGCTGCGGAATTGGGACAAAATAGCTCACCCAAGCTTGGCCTCGCCATGCCTAAAGCCACCGAGGAATTGGCAGGGGGGGGGGTTTACCAGCCGTCCGTCGTACGACTATTCCCTGCGTCACGGAAACCTTTGTCTTCCACTTTGTTGCGAGTGTGTTCGGACACGTACTAGTACTCGTATGGCTCGTACCTTTTCCTAGCCGCCCTGTTGGAGCCTTTTTAGACGAATTTCTGTATGTATGTACGGAGGACTGACTGATTTATCCTAGTGTCGACGACAGGCCTTGAAAACTGGACCTTGTTTTCCGGGGTTGAAAATCAGCCCTTTGATTGGTGCTTGAGTCTACGCCCCCATGGGCTCAACTTGCAGACAGGCAAACCGCTGCCGGGGCGTGTGTGGAACAGACAGCTAAGAGAATCACCCCGATGATGAGCCGTGCAATAGCGGGGAACGGCCGCTCTGGCCGTTGTGCGGACGATGGCGAAATGGACCGTCGACATGTTCCCCAGACTCAACAAGACGCTTCCTACTTGTCGGCTGACATGCTTCCCCGCAAAGACGGGTCAATTGGCTGGCCATCAACCCGTGGCAACCCTGATATAATGCTAGTTTTCGAGACGTAATGGCAAGTTTCGCCAGGTGGCACGCTATGGGGTAAAGGAGTGCAGTACTCGGCGCTGTCCCATTCATGAAAATGTTGTTGGGATGAATATGCATGGCTTTCTCCGTTGCTAACTCTTAGCCGCTGAATCAGAGCTCGAGGACTGCGGGCGAGCGGTGCTCGAAAGGGGCGAGACAAAGAAGCTTATTCGTTGCGTTTACGACTTCTCATCCACAGTGGCTCTCCCTACGCTGAAGAAGTACACCGCATTCTCGGTGGAAGCAGTCCCACATCCCAAGGAATGGTAAATGAGCCATCCGAGCAATTTGCGGCCCGACAAGTCTTGCATCCCGCCTCTTGTTGGACCAACGTCGTGAACTTGTCAACACGTGGAATCCCCATGGGGTTCGATTTCAATGTGTCACAGGAGCTCTATCAATTCGTCATTGCTTCTGCTTGGCGGGAGGAATAGGGCAGAGTTGTCTTTCGAGTGCAACCCAGGCTCATTGCCACAAAAGTTCCCAGCCTCAAAAACCAGATCGTGTGCCAAAGCTTTTGCCAACAACGCAGTAGTGGTACTACTTGTATAGAGTCGTCTGCCCAACTTTAGCGGGTTGCCACGATGAATCAGGTCTCGGCGCAGCAGACTTGATCTCAATATGCACATGTCAGAGTCCGCATATGCTTAAGGATGTCGGTAGCGCGCCTGATGAGCCTGATTACACTGCACCGGTGCAGCTCACATCGGCTTTGTCGTTGCCACTCCACCATCGGGCTCATGAGAAGAAAATTTTCTTCATACAAAGTCTCCCAACTACATAGCCTTTGAAATGTGTGATGACATCTGGTGGCATGCATTAAAGTCTGCAAGCGAACAAGTCACCCCCCATCTTCATGTATGTCTCACCCATGCCCACGCGCCGTCTAGCGAGCATGACATCCCACCCGTTGATCGCTGCCGACTACATATCGCCGTCGATACCCTCTGCCACGCGGAGTTTGGGCAAGGAGACGGGCGCATGGGGTAGCGTCTAGCCAGTGCTGCATCGGTGGCTGACCTTTTCCCCCCTCTAACACAACCTTTTGGTGGCCCTGGCATATCATGCAGGTGCTCATCCCTCGTTAAGCCACTTGTAGCTACTCTATACACCCTTTGATCTGCCTGCATATTCAGATGCAGGGTCGGAGGGCTCAGATTCGTCGAGCACGCATACTTTACCAAGACGGACCTATCCAGGCCATCAGGATTCAACTACATGCAGCAACTCATGAGGCACAAAAGTTGTGCCGAGAGTAACCACATCCACACAGACGCGCAATCTAGATGCTTTGCCGCGCAGTCCAGCGTTTGTCTTTTAGAACTCTCTAAATGCTCTGCTAACAGATGACGGTTCACGGGACTTACTGCAGCGCGAAGATACGGAGCAATGCACACGACTGGAGTCACCAACAAGCCCTGCTACTAGTCATGTCATGTCGGCGGCAATAACCCAATATTCCCACTGTCAACATAGGCCCCGAGCCCGCAAGGTGGGCAAAACTTGGTAACATCCACTTTGCACGCAGTTTTCCGAAATGAATGATTATGCATGGGCAATTGGACATGTAGCGTCGCATTCTCCAGTTTGCGGCTGCATTGGATGGACAGGCTAAAGACCATTCTGCAGAAAATGGATTGGAGGGCTAAAGATACGGACGAGTGCGTAACAAACGGTTAGCATCGAGCGTTTGCGGAGCACTGCGTGTTTGCCCCCAGCTTCCCCCACATGGACGGTTCGCTTTGGTCAGATTTGTTGCTTTGTTTATGTCTCTTTTTTAACTCTTCCATTGCTACTTTGTTACTTAGCACCGGGGTTCAGGTCTGGTTCCCAGCAGCGCAGGTGCCCGAATCCCTACTGGCTATCTCACAGCCAGCCTCGAAGCAAAAACGCGGCATGCACCATGGAGCATATTGGCAGACTATCGATATCTATCATCTCGCCAAGTTGACGTTTCATCTCCCCTATCGTCACGCTACGTCCCGCTCTCTCTTCAATGATAGAGGAACTACTAGTCCGGAGTAACGATAGCTCGCAGAACGCCTCTGCTTGAGAGATAACCCAAAAATCATGAGAGAGGGCACGTCCCATGGCCGCACTTTCACTCACCTCCCCCGGCAATTAGCATATGCGGCGACAGCCGTTGATGGCTTGCGTCTGTACCCCGGGCCTTGGCTGTTGAGGTAACATTTCCTTTTATGCGACATGGAACGCTACATTCGAGCTGCTGGCTAACTGGGGTGGCATTGCAGCCAAAAAAGAATACCCCTTGAGGAAGGTATGAAGCCCTTTCCATGTCAAAATGGCAGCATGCCTTACCCGCGTCCCGAACTGAGACAGTTGGTGTGCATTTCACCTAGCTGACGTATACAATCTACAGAGTACGAGTGCGTAGCGGAATGCTTTGCAGCCGTGGGATGACTAGTTGTTTCCGCCATCCTGGCACTGGAACTCTTCTGTGCCGTGAGACAGACGCCTTGGCCACTGCTCGTCTTTTCTCTTGTCTTGTCCCCAACTGGGCCCTTGCATGAAAACCCGAACAGGGAACCAGTGCGGGTGGGATTCGTAGCCGCAGTTTCCGAAGGCCTTTGGAGGGTGGTGGGAATGGGCCTGATGCTCCTCCTCCAACTCCATCGTTTTGCAAGATCCAGTCGCACCGCACCTACTGTTCGGCACGGCAAGTCTTCGATCTTGCCACAGGATTGGCCATCGGGATAGGGCGTTGTTCGTAAACTGCTCCGGGAACCAGCCGGCCCTCTAAATCGCTGGCTCGGACGACTCCCGACGTCCATCTGAGCTCCTCAGAACGCCCATTCACGATACCTCACGTGTTGCACCAGTTGTGGGGATGATGCCTGGTTTGCCTTACCCTGCGATCGCTTGACGGCCTGATTGCTGATCATTGTGTTCTTATCTCCACCTTTATTTGCTAGTGGCAACCGGAGGGGGTTTTCCACCAAACACGGCACACAGTTGGGAGGAAAAAGAAGAACTCGTGAGGACTGAGCTGAATACAGTGAGCGGGCAGCTATCCGGCAGCTATCGATGACGATGGAGGGGACAGGAGTTTAGTTGTCAGAGTCTGTCTGAAACCAAGCAGCTTGGCAGCGGGGCTCAAGCAGTCGTCGGTGATAGGACCTCGCCTCGCTTTCGTGCCTTTTTTTCCCTTCTACGTGCAGCCTACCGGGCGGCCCGTTGATTCCTGCAAGTCCGGGCCCGGAGTTGACTATGCCGCGGTAAATATAGTAGGTAGTGATCGTCGATACGCGCCCCCTCTCCCCCAATAACGCGATGGCAAAGCAGACATTGACAGGGTCCCGGTCTGTCAAAGGGTCCTAGCAAAGGCCTTATCGCAGCTGGACGAGGACGCGTTGCCATATATAGCATGGGCTCGGTATCCAGGTACTGCGTTCCTCGAGGCGAAAGCGAACTTTTGCCTCTGCTCCACTCCTCCCAGCGAGAGGTTTGGGACGACTGCAGTAGCCCGCGCGAACACACACATGTACGAGAGCGGAATGGGGGAGAGCGCGGGGTTGCGGTTCGCGAAGAGTCGCCTCGACGCTGGGCTGGGCAGAGAGGCAATGTCCTTTTGCACCATTCACCATTTTCCCTCGTTTCTTGGCGGCGCCAGATTTCCACTTTGACAACTTGTGTCAACCTGCCGGCTTTCCGACTCGCCTACCGCCTTTATGACGAGGTGTCGTGTGTGTCTAGCTGGCGTTTCTTTCTTCTACTGCATCGTGCTTTATCTGCATGCAGTTTACGAGTGGAGTTGTTTCACATGAAGAAGAAGAAGAAGCGAAAAGAACAAACTAAGAAGAGATGCCGAGCTAACCAAGACTCACGGGCGCTTCCGCTGGGTTAGGTCAAACAAAAGAGCTGAGTGGGATTCCAGTCTATCAGCCATTTACCTTGCAACAAGCGATGCTTCCATGCTTCCATCCTTTTCTAAATTCCCTCTCTCCCCCTCCCTTCTATTCCTTCTGCAGATACGAATGTGCACCCAAAACACACAAACTCAACGCTAGGATCGCGATATAAGATCATATTCGATCAGGGTCGGCTCATGTCGTCATTTCCGTAAATGGTGAATCCTGCTGCGGAATTCTGCAGCGTCCTAAAGCGGCCGCATACATGTAGCTGAGCGGCAGAGGATCCTCTTTGGATCAATTGGCTTCGTCTAGAACAGAGTGGATGCCCCGACCCTGACTGAGGTCTAGAACAGTAGGTCGGTAACTGTTCTGGTCGATAGAGAGCAGAGGGGAAGAAAAACTTTTTCAGTTTAGGATTAAGTTGCGAGATGTCGCTGGCGGCAGCGGATAATTATCCTGCATGTCTTTGCGTTCCGCACACGTCCTATTTGCTCGGGTCGACGGTTGAATGAAAGATGCCAGTTTCCAGAATATCCAGAATTGATAGAAAATGGATTATTCCCGGTGTGTAACACTTTTTGCATTTAGCAAAATCCTTCCCGTCAACGTGGTTCAGGGACAATTAGACTGCCGTAACCAACAACACCACGTTGACTGCCGTAGATATAAATAAAATAACAAAAGTCTCTTCTTTGCCGTAAACGTTCGATCCCAATCCCAGTATTTCCCAAAAAGAACACCGATTGACCTCGATCTGGAACAACTAACGCACGCCAATTACCAACAACGTGGAACCTGGATATATATTTGGTAATGGGAATGGCCAATGCCCTGTGAATGTTTCATCCCGCTGAGGATTCCAACGTGGTTTGATCGTTCGATGTTCGTTGGGACGTGCGCAAAAAAAAAGTAGGTACACGCCGTGACATGCCGCAATGAGGCTTGCATTGCCGCTCAAGACGATGTTGCTTGGATTCGATTCTCCCATGTCATGGATTACCCAGGTATGAGGTATGTATTAACGCATAAAATGTTGTTTACATATCTGGATGTAACTCGCCAAGCATATTTCACATGTTCCAACGACACGACTTCAGTATATGTTTATACGTCAATATTAAGGTATTTACTAGGACTTAGGTTTAATCTTGGGCAACATAGTGACACTTTATGACGGTATTGAAAGAATAAATAATTAATCGAGGTATGGGAGATATGAGCTACAATCCAACCGTCTTTCCCATTTGCCTTTGTAGAAACCTCGTAAAGAGAAAAAACTATCCACAACTCTGGACTGGGTAAAAATATATATAGCATTATGGAGTCAACCGATGAATACAAATGGAACCATCTCGTGTGATCCGCTTTCAATTCACTTCACTCGCTCACACAAACACACTATTCATCTCCTTCGTCTATGGGGGCGCCTGGGCTTCTCTTCTTCCTCTGATATAACATAAACAAAGTGTACAATTGCTCATCTCGTATTCACATCATTTTACAACAAAAGAGCGGCCACGGCTCCGCCAAACAGAGCCACCATGGCAGGAGCGCGGAATCCA